TAAAAATCACATATAAAAACTACTTCTAAAAACCTTAACGAAGAAAATGTTTCGACCCCATTCTAATAATTTAGGATATATCTTTCAATTTTTATTGAGAGTTATATCATCGTCGTCGTCGTTGTCTAAGAATATCCCAAGCCAGTTTGGAACTAATAATTGGACTATTTTTGAAAAAATGTAGCGCGAAAATGTGAAAATTGTGCCAATTTTTGTGGGGTGTTTATTCCTCTTAAACCTATACAGGAAATCGGTAAGACTGTCAATGAGGGTGCAGGCACAGAAATGAATAAAAACAATACCTTCTAGAGCGCACATCGAACCGAATAAAGATCCTACACGCAACAAAGGGATTTGCCGGGTATCCGCCTAAGAGTGAAACGCCAATATTACTGTATACAGTAATATATAACACTGCTATGGCGTAGGACAGGAATCGAATTTCAATTTCGGTTGACAGCTGTAAGTTGATATAAACGCCCCCCTCCCCACTCTCGCAACCTAGATGGGTTATTCGAAAGCCAACCAAACGGACTGCAAAAGTTATCGCGGTGGTGTTGCTTTACGGATTGGAATTTATGCGTATGTACGTATGTATATAGATTGTAAGTACACCCTAGGTTCGTTGTGTAAATGGTACACGATTTGTTGTGTGAGACGAAAATGCGGGGGGGGGGGCCGTCCCCAGGGTTTTGACGGTGATTCTCGTTAAAATATAGAAAACGGCAAATGATTAAACACGACGGGTTAACGCGGTTTGATGTGCACAACGGCCGAACGAGCGCTCCCACAGGACGCAGACTTACCTGCTGCTTCGGTGTCCACACTGTAGGCACGATAAACTTACCGAAGGGCCACCGGTGTCGGTCGATAGCGCAGCAGTGGCTTTACGGTTGGCCGGAGTGGGTTAGAAAAAAACCTAGGTGAGGTTTTTTCGCAGGCGGTCCTGTCTGGGACACTATACATGCACTCAAGTTGATTGGTAAGCTAATTGATCAAACTGTTGTAGGACACTCGTTTTCTCTGAAGATATGAATAATTTGAAAAATATTATTGTTTCCCCAAACCTGTTGGCATACTGTTGTCCACAGTTCTTATTCGTAAACAATTAAATTTTAAATTATTCCAGTAACAGCTTTTGTTCGAACAATTATTGTATTATCTAGATGAATTGATAAACGTTTTGCACAAAAGAAAATGTGTTTGCTGTAAAAAAAAAAAAAAAACTATTTTAAACGAGGAAAAAGAGGGGAGGGGCATGTGTTTAAAACTATTATAGATTTTCAATCGTTGCGGTGCGACAGCTGCGAATGACACCTTTTGCGGTGTCTAAGTGAAAAACTTAAAATATGTATGTACCTATGTATGACGTACATGTGGGAAAAAATCCATTCGGTTCGGTTATAATTTATTCATGATTTGTTACTGCGCATGCACATGCGGTCGTTGTGGCCTAACCGAAAATCCTCCGGACTTAATGTGCAACAGATTTACATCTTGACGACGCTCGCAGAACTGTAAATTATACACCCTGACACCGAACCGCGGATTAACATGCAGTTTCTATGGCATCTGTATAATATATATATATATATAAAGTATACACCCAGACAGTGGATGTGTTTAACAAGTACAATAAATAGTCTATAAATTATTGCAAATTTTTTTTCATTATGCTATTTCAGTAATTTAGACTATTTGAAGATAACACATATATTCACACAATCGGTTGAAAATATTAAATTCACATTTTGCTTATTTTTCTTTTTCATTAGTTAATTTATATTTTGTTACCATTAATTATATTCAATCTGTTCCAATATGCAAGTACAACAAGTATTTCTATCGTATGGCATTATTTTTTTAAATTATGTGATACAACAACTTCTAGCAAATGTATTTTTATAATTTATAAAGTTTCCGCTTCAATTATTCACTCATAAAAACGGACTTAATTTTCGGTCAACTAATTCAACTGGTTGACAACAAATAGAATAATTCATTAAGGATATTAAAAAACAAAGGATTAAGATATATTCTCCTAATTCTCCTTTTTAGCAATGTCTCCGATTACAAATTATAATAATGTTATGTGAATGGTAAATTTTGTGCACTGATAATATACAAAAAAGTGTACCTGTACAATAAATAAGTCTATATCTAAATTTAAAATGTTCAAATGTAATTGTTTAAGCACTTGACGTTATGAACGTTATTCGTCCAGATTTGAATAGTTATAAAACTACATAATTTCATTGTAGCTAGACAAAATATTATAGATGTCATTTGCAAAACTTATCTAAATGACATGGTTTCGGTGACTACATTTACCACTGTGGATTAGCTCCGTTTAAGTATGTTGTTAATTTTACTAACGAAAATATAATCTAAATATGGTTGTGATTGTGTTAATTCAAGTCCACCTTGTTGTGAAAATATATATAATATATAGGTACTTAAACGTAATCGACGAATCGTGCCACGCCCTAATTTTAACTTCAAATGTTGTTTTTTTTTTTTTGTTAATTATATTCAATGTGTTTCCATTTGGTATCGCTAATAACGTTGCGTGATAGTTTTTTTTTTTTTTGATTCGAACACACTTCCTATAAATTCGCACATGTTTTGAACTCGTTTGATTCATTAGGACCGTATTGTTGATGTTATCGATTTTCTACACCGCCAATTAAATGTATTAACCTTTAACATCGGCTAAAGTAGTTTTACAAAACACCCCTCCCCCTCTAAAAAACAACTAATTTAACCGACGGTTCGATTTTATGGTACAAAACAAACACGACAGTCCAGTAATTGTCAATGGGAAAATTAACATATTACATTATCATAATATGCAAATTCTACAGTACCCAATAATAGTAGTATAATAATATGTTATATGTGTACAAATTTAATAAATTTTGTTGGATTGATTATTTTATTATCATATTTAACGCATTTGGACACCTTTAATTTATTATAATAATATAGAAATGTGTATTGTATACAATACTGATCAGAATATAAATGCAATTTAGAGTCGAAATACCAACCCAAAACCGCGTACGCCAATAAATACCCTTACAAACAAAGCGTGGCTGATCTAAAAGTCCATTTACTGGTGTATAAGTTCTATTGTATTAAAAACAAATAAAAATAACGTTAACCACTTTCTTGTGTCTTTTGCACCAATTTTTTGAATTATCGTTCACCAAAATATGGTAAATATGCAATTATTGTTTTTGAACCGTTTCTTTTTTACTATTTTGCATTAAACTCTAATTGGTAGTGTACAACAAAAAAAAATTGTGCAAACTATTAGAACTCTAATGTGAAATGATAATGTTTTTATTTTCTATTGTTTTCTTGAAAACAAATGAATAAAATTTAACCAATTTTAATTTACATTATTTTATTCAATTTATTTAGTATTATTGGGTAAACAACATTACCTACTACAACAATAACATGTGTCTTAAGTACACATTCTGTATGTTATACAACACAAACCCCAAAAATCATATTTTTTAAATGCAGTACTTTTTCAGCTGTTCAATGTTTTCAGTTAAACTGTTTACGGCCAAACAAATATAATTCAAATTGGTATGTCTCATCTATATTTTCATACTATTTAGTTTGAGATGTACATTTTAATATTAAATCGTTATATTTAAAAAAAAAACTGAGTAGACAAATTTGTTTCGAAAAAGATCATGATTTCAAGGGATCGGTTTAAGAGTTAAACGGTTTTCATATAAATCACCATCATACAACCGTGTTATATATACATAATCGATATTCACCGAATTTCTTGTGATAAATGGACACGGGAAAACATGTCAGTAGGGTAGTTGGGAAAAAAAATAGCAAAAGACGGATAGCAGAAAGAGCGTGTATAGGTAAGGTACAAATTATACATAGTAGAAAAAAAGGGACGAGAAAGAAGCGGAAAGAATGTAAAAAAAAAAAAATATATATATATAAATATATATAAGGAAAAGGACAATAAAAAAAGAGGTAGCGCAACAGGTACATTCACAGCACTGAATGGTCACTATATATTATTGTACATGTAAAAAATCCTAAATGGCTTTACGGTAGTCAATAGTTGAACGTTTAAAAAATATTTTTATACAAAATTACACACACCAGAAAACAAAAAACTTACATCAAAGCATACCTTACACCAAATCACAGCTGTTATACTTTAGTCCGTTTAATAAACAATAAACGATAAGAATGTTTAATAACTAATAAAATCTACATTTGTTTCAATATATTATTGTTATGGTTATTGACTGATGCAAGTAAATTATATATATAATTCAAGTTTAGCTATTAATGTCACCGATGACCGTCGATAATAGAATAATAAAGTGACAACGGTTGTTTGCACGATTAATTTTGATAAATATATCATCAAGAGAAAAAAACAAATAGTTAACTATTTATTGAAAGAGATATATATTTACAATCGTATGTATGCTTGTAATCGTTTTACAGAATATTAGAATTTGTATTATTCAATTGAATTTTTATTATTTGTAATTAATACAAAAAAAATAGTAGTACCTACACCTATTTACAAACTTATTTTATTTCGAAACCGACAAAGTATTTCAATATTAAAATATAAAGATAAAATGTTTGTTTTCCAAATGTAAACGACTGACAAAATATGTTTATCCGAGCATTTGCAAGCAGTAAAACTTATGTCAAATTAACCTCTCTCCTCTCGCGTTATTTCTAGAAGAGCAGTTCAGCAGTGCGTCCTAAAAACTAACACTTAAACTCGTTTCCAAAACGTGTGCACTGTCAACCGTCGGACATAATAATAGTTGACCAACCCGTTTGTTTTAAGACCCCGACTTAATGCGGCACCACCGTCATTGTGTGTATTGTACGGCGGTAATGAGCGGAAAATGATAAATCGCCTACACGGTGTTAACGGTCGTTTTCAAAATGTAATACTTGGGGTTTTTTAATTTTTACTCTAGCCTCACCTCTTTCACGTTTATGTCGGTCTCCATGATGATCCCCTCGTCGGTGGCGTCTGTCGCATAGTAGTGGCTAAAAGGTGCTCCTGGCAAAGGTACCGGTTCCACGTGTCCTGTTTTGCCGTGATAGCGCAACAGGTACGCAGTCCAACAGACATATCTAAAGAATAAAATACAAATTTCAGTCAACTACATAACACAAAGTTCGGTGTTCAGTTGAATGTATAATATAATATTTTAATAACCATTAAATAGCAATATATTTAATGTTGCATTGCTTAACAATATTATTTTAGTACATTTTTAAATACACAGATTTTTCGTTGTTGGTTTATTCGATTTTATTTGTGATTAATTCGAAAACAAAATATGTTTTTATTACTTTATTTAAAAAAAAATAATAATAATATTGTAGTGTTATTTGATTAACAATACAAATAAATAATAAAAAAACGTTTTTATTCATATCCTCGCTACGTCGAATAATAATTCGACAAAACTGCAACAGAAATAAAAGTAATTTTATCATGACAAAAAAACATTTAAAAACAAAAAGTACACAAATATTTAATATTATACAAACACATTGCTCATTCGAATAATCTAATTAGAAAATTTGTCAAATATAAAATTATCTGTTAACGTGTACCTATTTATGTTTTACCGTTTCCTTGAAACTGTATTCTCAAAACAGTGGTAAAAAACAGCTGATTAGAGATGCTGATAAAGGATTAGTGATAAGAGACAGATGATAATTGGTCCTGATAAGAAATCAGCGACATACACACATATATGTGTATAGATTATATAAACTAGATTGCTAACTAGTGATAAGAATCGAAGTCGACGTCGGCCATTTTTGTGGGATTTATGTGTGTATAAAATTATATATATAATAAATTATATACAATTATTTAGAATTATAAATAGATATATATATCTGTGCTATCAGCTTAACTTTTAATTGTTATAAACAGAGATAACGGTTAAAAACATGTGATTTTCATGTCGGTTTTGCCTGGTGTTTTCTGGTTTTTATTCACTTACTCCAAATTATTTATTTATTGTGTAAAGTAAGACACTTGCTGGGATATTTTTTTCGAAGAATAGTACCTAACATTTTACGTTCAAGTCGGACTTGACGCAAACTACTATTTCTCATGGATTTAATCATTTTGATTCGATAAATCATACCGTACGGTCTTCAAACGTTTATATCGTACAATACTTTATTCCGTTTATTTATTTTATTACACTAGCGTTGAATGAAATTAACTAACATTTTCCTCGTGCTGTACAATTGAACGCGGTACCATACGCGTATGTTTTGTGTAAATAATAAAACACTTGACAGTGCAAAATTGATACCACCTGATGCGTTTTGTGCTGCTAACTTATTGGCGTCGAGAATGTCGGTAGATAAATAATATATACCATTAACACTCCGGCGTTTCCTTTATATAAAACTTTTCCACTATTATACGCCAACAGTAATGTTTTATCAACACCTTGCTGTCTACACACAATGCTTCAAGTCCCATTCAATAAATAACAGCTGTAGTCGGAATAACTTGTGTTGTATTAAAAGAATTTAATTTAGATTAAAATAATTGTACAAATTTGCAGAAATTATCGATTCGGTTTCTAAGAAAATGCACTTTCCCAAGAAGAGTTCCGGACAGAGTTGAGCGCTTTATGATTGGAAAAATTAAATGATTCGAATAAACAATTTATTAATTAAAAATCAATTGTAATTAATTCAAATAATAATATGGTTTTGTAATATATTCAAACGACATTTTTAAAGCATAAAAAATAAAAAAAATGCAATAACTATTTGTGTTAATCATTATTGTACAAAATATAAATGATACGTGAATTTATTATTTATTAATGAACACATACCTACATATTTAAATCATTTTGTTTTATGGAATGGTATTGCTACATTTTTTAATAATTCGCGAATTTGTTTAATTAAATTTATAAATATAGTTAATGAACAAAAATTATATCAAATTGGCAAAACATAGGTCATATTCACTACTAATAAATTTAGTGACAATATTATGTTTACATAAAACATGTTAAAACATATCAGATGTAAAGTTTCTGACTTTTTATGAAAACTTAAATCTTACCAAACAAAACATTTTAAATAATGATAAAATATATCATTAGATGGTATGATTAGGTTTTTCGAACATAATAGGTAAAAATAACAATTTACTAAATATATACTTAAATAATAGGTAGTGTGACTTTTTCAGAAGTTTTTAAATTAATTAACAAACGATATTTAACTTTTTTTTTGAAAAGACAATTTCTGGTGGTAAAAGTATAAAATGTTGTTTGGGTATTTGTAAAATCCGGTAAATTATAAAGGCTTGTTCAAGACGTACCTTGATTTAATTTAGTAAAAGAAAATCTTAAATAAAAAGTGTTTCCGTTCTTGAACATCAGCCCAAGAGGGTCGATAAACTTTTTTGTTGTTACTCTTTATGGCGGTAGCGGCTAATAAGAAAAGCCCTTCTATGCAGTTTGTAAACTATTTTAGTATTCATAAATATCAAATAAGATTTTATGATAGTCTTGGTGGTTTTTTTTTATTCGCAATGTAAGTAAGTTTAATTTATCAGAAACATGTTACAACCCACATAGTATACTTTAATATACTTTTGGAGAATACAAGTCATTTTTGGTTTATAGATTTGTCATCTGTGGCTTGAGAGAAAGCTCAATATTAACATGGATATGTTATTGGACTGGTAATCGTTTCCAAGTATGTATATAAGATTAGAGATAATTATTTAGTGATAAGATATTAGAGATAAAAATAGAGATAATAAATTAGAGATACTAGATTAGAGATCAAAATAGATATAATGGATTAGAGACGGTCCAGCTGGGTGTTGGGTTTTAAGATTTTAAAGCGTTAAGATTTAAAGGTTAGGTTAGGTACGGCAAAATAATAAAATGAGCAGCGTTTCCAAATAAAACATCAGAGACTTGTGGTGTATACATAGTGATGGATTGGAAAACTCTGGAAACTTGAAGTATGGATGACCACCGATCCCACTTGTATAGGTTTTTGAATAAGTATGAGTTTGATATTAAAGGGCTATTGTAATTTTATATGAATAATAAGAAGATAAGAATAATTCAATTCGATAATAATTTATTTATAGTTGAAAATCATATTATATTTACATAATATTTGAGCAAGTAAACTATAATACACTTGTGATTTTATTATTTTCTTTTTTATCGAGATAGAAATGAATTCAACACATTGTAAATAATTAATTTTTCCTCGTTTCGTGTTCTATTGTACAAAATAAGCGTTGTATACTATTTGCAAGCCACTCAACGTGAGCCTCTCTCCAGAATTAAGTAGTTATAGCTGCGCACGCTTGTCTTATGAACATTAACAATTTTTTAATTGTTGTACACGAGTTCAATTATATTCGGTTTTCAGGCTTTATTATTTTTTTCAAAAGTTGTATTAAAGAAGGAAGGTTTTTGATAAAAACAAATTAATAATCTGATTAAGATAAAGATTATTTTATACTTTATTATCTAGATAAAAAATGATAGTAACGTTGTGGTATTATTCTCAACGCTGGCAAAGGAGGGCATAATAATATTTTTAAAAAAAAGCCTATTACTGAGATTGTACATGTTTTTTATTTTACTGCAAATGGCGACTGCTAATCGTCGCCCAAATTGGGTATGTGTTTGGATAACGTTAACGATGCAGCCCACGTGGAAAACAAAACGACAGACATTAAACTCGAAGAAAACGGCTCGTTGTAAGATTTACATTTACATTTGTAAATTATTATTGTCATTTGTGTATTTTCAGTTTTGAAATGGATTTTGCCAAAGCGCCCAAGAGCTTAGTTTTAACGAGGGCCCAAATCGCTTCACTGTAGATTAAAAGAAACGGTTCCGAGCACACTCGACAGAACAAAACACACTAGAGAAAATTAATTCCGTTTTTCAGCTCGGATTAAAAAAAAAAATAATTTATATAAGTATATATTTTTGTTTAAGTCGTTATTTTTCATGCTCTACCGCTATACCACCTGCTCTACCGTATGTTTACCCTGTCAGGTTTAATGTTAATTTTTCACCATAACCGGTCGGTGTTGAGGATGAACCGAAATGCCCGGAATATAGGCTTGAAACGAGGGACATTATTTTGATTACCTCCTCCTGAAAAAGCACCTCTAATCAGTTATTTAAGAAAATATGTAAGAAGTAAAATACCGGACGCCTGCGTTAATCGCAAGGTTTATACCAAGTGGCAGTTTTTTTTTTATTCAGTTCTCTAAAATAGATTTATTATGGCCATGGTACATTTTTCAGGTGTCTACAGAAACAACTATTAGTACACGTTGAGTTCCATGCTTAAGAATTCCACATAAAAATATTATATTCATTTTAAATGTATTGAGGCCTTATATTGGAAGAAGTCTGTCCAGCCAGCGCGGAAAACGGTTGAATCGCATTTGAATAAGTTGGCGGATAAGATTATGTTAATTATTCTAATATTAAAAATTACCTTTCTATAGAGCTAATTTAGGTATAATCCAAACAGGCCAAGTCAAAAGTTTATACAAAACCCGGTTTGGCTGAGACAAACAAAGACATTTCACAGCATTGCCAAGACGGCGATGTCATTTCTCATTTCTCGCGTTACACATAATATTTATAATATTTAATACAAAGCCAAAGAATACCGTATTGTGTATGCACAAACAGGTGTTGTTTAAGGCAATGAATTTAGCTTTTTGTATTTAAGTTGAGTATTTATAATGTGGAATTGAAATGAGCAGTGCAGCAAGACACCAGCTTTGTTGACATTTTCAGCATAAATTCAAACCGAATAATATTATTATAAAAAAAAATTCAACGTTCACGGCATTGTTTAAGTATTGATATGGTAGTTTCAGAGAAAAGTCGACGATCTGAATCTTTGACAGACTCAAAAATATAAATAAAATATGTCCACAAGCGTCGAGATGTTCCCTCAGAAAAGCGACAGAGTTATGATTTAAAAATAACAGAGAATTCGCCAAAAAAAACAGAAATTGATGCAATGTTTAAAAATGGTATTACATTGTAGGTAAAGTAAGTGTGAAATTCTCAAGCAAA